CCGTGGCCTTGGTGTTATCAGCACCGCACTCTCCCGAGTGAGCCACGGGCCGGCCCTCTTCTCTCCTTTTGAAAGAGTAAAGGTTACTCTGTTGATTTGCTGCCTAGATGATCTGTCCGATGCTGAGAGGTGTGATCAGGTCCCCCAATGTTATCACAGAGCAGATGCTTCTTCTGTCACTCTGGAATGCGCTTTGTGGAAAGGGACATCCTGTTCTTTCCTTTGGTCCCTGCTGGTGACTCTCCTTGTGTCAATGCACTCCAGTGGCTGGCGGACCATCTGCGTGGTGGTTGTGACATCTAGCTGCTTTTGTGGCAGCCATGCATGGTTACTGTGGTGGCTGTGGTGGGCCACCCACATGGAGGTGATGTTTTTGGCCTGCTCCTTGGCACTGGTGGTGTGCCTGGTTGGGGGGAGTCTGGTCCCCGGATCCATGCCCCAGCCCAGTAAGCACCAGCTTTAACATAAAGCAGACTGACTAGAGTGCACTGCTCCAGTGTAACACTGCCGTCTACCACCCTCTCTCCCGCTTACCCATCCGTCCACCCATCCAACCTCCTGTCTGCCCATCTACCCATCCGTTTGCTCTTCCCCCCACCCACCCGTCCAAGGCTCATCAAGTGCCCAGAGCTCTTGGCGTGAGGGCTAGGGAGACGCAGAGGTGGAAGCAGGGGGTCATGCCTTTAGGGGACCCTGTGTGGCGGGGGTATCAGACAGTGCAGTAGCTGAGAGGAGTTAGAGACCAGCCCAGCCGTGTTCAACTCTGGCGCCACTACCTACTTCGTGCAGTTCTTGGTCACCTTGACCTCTAGGAGCATGGTTGACTTGGTAAATGGCACGCCCTCCACTTGGGGTCTTACGCTGCCCCCAGGGTCCTGAGGCCTTATGTGCCACTCTTGTCACCCTAGTGGAGGCCCTTCCACTCACCTCCTGCAGCCGCAGGTGTTCCTATGTGTTCGTGGGCAGAGGGAGCTCCACGCAGCTGCAGGAGAGACCATCAGCTTTTTTCCAGTCCTGAGTTTTATTGACTCCTAGGGGCTGCCAGAGCTATAAATAGATGTTCTTGAGCTAAAAATAGCCTTGCTGGAGCATCAGACCATGCTCCTAGCTTTGCTCTTTTTGAGGACACTTAAGGATGCAGGATTTCAAGACCTTCCCTCCTCCTGAAGCCCCCAAAGAGGGGCTGGCCTAGCCCCCCTTTCCTCTCTTCTCTTGCTTCCTCTTTCTCTTCTCCCATCTTCTGAAACACACACACACACACACACACACACACACACAGACATATAGGGGTCTCCCCAGTGTCACTGGTTTGAACTACCTGTTCGCTTAGAAAGCAGGAGGGGTCCCTGGGATAAGTAGGACAAACCTGGAAGGAGCTGCACTAGCTGGAGGACTGGGGCTGAGGACACATCTGTTGGGGAACCTGCCTAGAAATTCCCAGAAACTAGCCAGAGTCCTGCCTGGCACATAGTGAGCGCTCAGTGCATACGAGCATTTGTTGTAGTAATAACCAAGCAAACGTTGTTACAGTGACCCAGGAGAGCCACAGCTAAAATCTGTCCTGTGGGGACAGTGCAGGGAGCTCACCACCACCTGGCTGTAGTCGTGCACCAGGGGACTAGCCTCAGCCACGGGCCCACTCACACTCACCCTCCGGGTCTGTGGCCCACGACACCCCGCAGCAGCTGGGCTGCGCTGACAGCTGCGGGGAGAGGAACCCCCTGGCTGGGGACAAGGAGGAGACACAGCAGCTCTTTCCACCCGGTTGCTTTTGGTCCTTGTGGCATGGACACACACCACTTAACTGATCTAATATCTAAAAAGCTAGCTGCAGACACTGTATGTGGGGTACTTCAGAAGTTCGTGGGTAATGGAATTAAAACACAGCGCGGATCTTTCCATGAACTTTCTGAAGACCTCCCACATAAGTAGGTCCTCACTGGTGTTGCAGAAGCCGTCCTCTGGTTTGCACGCACACACAGCAAGCGTCCGGATGTCACAGTGTGGTTGTGCTGGTGAGGGGAGTCCATGGGCAGGCTTGAGTTTTTATTTTGTATAGTTTCAAGTTATTTCAACTTTTACTAGCACGTAACAACAAAAAAAGGGTGTTTTACATTCTAGGGGTGCAGCTGAGGACCCCCTCCCCAACACCTGGCCTAACGCACCAGGCTCCTGGCCTCAGGCAGCCTCCAGGACTGTCCCCCCCTCCTCTCCCCCCACCTGCCCACCACCAGCCTCTCCCCTACCCCTGCCCCCACCCCATCCTCTCTGCCTGCACCTCTCCCACCCTGCCCCCA